CCTGCTGATTGCTGTGCCCTCCTCTTCTCCCCAGGGAGGTGACCCGATCCCTGAAGGAATTTTCTTCAAGCAAGAGGATGAACACGGGCGACAAGGTGACCTTACTGCTTGCATTGAGCTGGGCTTCAGTGTCTCCCCAGCGGTGTACAGGCAGCCCCAGGGACTCAGCCACGTGCCAGGACAAATTGAGGCCTTGCGTGGATGCCTGATGCATAGCTCTATGAGGGGACGAGTGCATGCAGTTTTCTGCTGGCCCTAGCCAGCAACTCTGCGGCTGTGGAGCAGCCAGGGGTATTCAAGCAGGCTGAGATGCTGCTTCACTTTATCCTATGCATGGGGCTGAGGAAAGAGGGAAGGGACTTCTAGAGACTGTAGCAAACAGGATGGTGGTGGCCTGGTAATGGAAGTGTTCTGCTTTGGGAGAGCACCGAGTTGAGGGGCATCAGTTTACACCTGAGCACAGAGGTCCATGCATGCCTTGCCAGCGCTCCTTCTGCTTCTGGCCAGTTCTTTTTTGGAGACACCAAGTTCTAGGTAATGAGGAGATTGTGTCAAAAATGGAACATAAGAATGGCCAGAAACTGAAAACATCATCTCACCCTCAGCCAAGTGCACAGGCTAGGTCCCCAGGAGGGTCCTGGGGGGAATGTTCTCCAGGGATTCCCTCTCCTTTTCTCTAGTTTCTGTAGCTACAGACCTTCCTGCTCCTCAGACTCATCACCAGCTGATGAAACAGCACTATCATGGCAGGCATCACCAAAACCCCAAAGAGACAGAGAATCACATTTGGACGGAAGTCCTTGGCAGGGCTGTCCCCTCCTCTGCCCCTCTCTGCTAACAAACCTGCTCACAGCCATAAGTCCACGGCAGGTAAGTGACTGTGTCTCCTTCTCTCATAGACCACCATGAGAGACCTCTCCCAGATGCTGAAGAAGATGCCACAGTACCAGAAGGAGCTCAGCAAGGTAAACAAATGAGCAAACGGGTTCATGGAGAGCAGATGGTGCCTGAGCAACCTACACAGTGGATGTTCAGAGGCAGTTTTATCCAGGCCGCTCTGCTGGGTCTCCAGCTACGGGCAGGGGCTGGCAAGGGGCAGCATCCCCCCACACCCAAAATGGGCTGGCACGCACAACCTGGGGCACACTCGGGGCTGAAGCCCGGGTTGGCAAGCCGGGGGCGGTGGTAAGGGGACCTTTCGCTGCTTCCAAATACCACAAGGGTTTCTGCACTGCTTGTGTCTCCCTAGTACTCAACTCACCTGCACCTGGCTGAAGACTGCATGAAGCACTACCAAGGCACAGTGGATAAGCTCTGCCGAGTTGAACAGGTACCAGCTTCCCTGGCTTCCACGTTCCCCCACCTCTGAATGGGGAGAACTGGGCTAGCTGCTCCTGCCTGACTGCACAGCAGAGGCATTGAGCCCAGGGCCAAGCAGTGATCAGAGTGTGTATTCTCTGCAGGACCTGGCCATGGGCACCGATGCTGAAGGTGAGAAGATCAAGGACCCCATGAGGGCCATTGTCCCCATCCTGCTGGATGGGAATGTCAGCACCTATGACAAGATCCGCATCATCTTGCTCTACATCTTCCTGAAGAATGGTGAGGAGGAGAGAGCTCAGCAGGCGGGACAGGGAGGTGGGCTGGGGGAGAGAATGAAAGGGATGGAGAGCGGGTGAGGAGAAATGCAGGCAGCTCCCTCCAGCACAAAGCTCAGTGTTTGACCAAGACAAGCTGAATGGAAAGGCATAGCCCCAGTTAACCACCAGTCTCTGAGGTGGTTTCCCACTCCTTGAATGCCCTAACAAACCACACTAAAAGCACTAAAAAGTTTGAGTGCACAGACCCACACAGGCGACTGCATGAGACCGGAGCAGATTCAGACCACCATCTATCAGAACTGGGAACAGACCTGGGTGAGTTCACATTGCTCCCCACACAGTCAAAGGGTGGCAGAAAAAGGAGAATTTGTGTATAAGATTAGTAGACATATTCTTCTCCAAAGGACAGGAGGGCTCTCGGGGGGTGGAAAACTCAGGGAAAGGTAGGATCAGAGCAGCAGAAAGCTGCCTAGTGTCCACTGAGCACTCCCTGGCTGACACCAGGATGGGTGTCCTGAGATGTGGATGGAGAGGTTGTGTCCCTGCTCGGATGCATTTCATAAGAGGGTGCTGTTTCCCTGTTTGCATTTCCAGGTATCACTGAGGAAAACCTGAACAAGTTGATCCAGCATGCTCAGATCCCTGCGGAGGACAGCGAGATCATCACCAACATGGCCCACCTTGGGGTGCCCATCATCACAGATGTAAGTGTCCAACTCCCTTTACCCACGGCCCTCCTTCAGTCTTGGGAGAGCCACCAGGACCCTGTAGCACTTACTCTAGGTGTGACTTTTTACTACGGGGATCCACTTTTCCACTGGGAAGCCATCAAGGACCCCCAGCACACTTTCTACAGGGTCACTTTGACCCCATGGCACGGGCTCAACCCCAAAAGCATGGAGACTGCGTCCTGGTGTGAGGCCTGCAGGATCCCCCGTGGCTCAAGGTATCTCTTGCTGTTTGTGCCCAGTCCACCCTGCGCCGCCGGAGCAAGCCAGAGCGGAAGGAGAGGATCAGCGAGCAGACCTACCAGCTCTCCCGATGGACCCCTGTTATTAAGGACATCATGGAGGTGAGTCAGCAAGGACAGGGAACAGAGCAGGGACTTCAGCATCACCCAGGAAGAGACGTGCAGAGAGCAGGGTTCTTCCAGCTCATGGCATCACTCCCAAAATGGGCCCTTAAAGCTGCTTGCAACAGGAGTCCTGCAGCTTCCTTTAACTGCTCCAGGCCTTTGTGCAGTGCCCATGGGAGGCGGCCATTTTCTTTACAATTTTAGCAAGGCTATGATGACCTGTGATGCAGCACGTCCCACCCTACCTGGTGCACCCTTCCCTTCACGCTACTCCTGACCCTGCGCTTGCGTGCTGGGCCCCGGGCTGGGATGCACACTATGTATTCATACAGCACCTAGCGCACAGGTGAGCTGGCAGCTCCCAAGCACCACTGAGTACAAGCAAATAAACCAGGTGTTTCTTATGCCACATGCTATGTTGTAACAGGGCACACCTGGGCTACATCCTTGCCCAGCATTACTTGCACCCCTGAGTGAGCAGACACGCACAGCACCATTGCCCCAGGCATAGACGCAATCCTGCCTCTTACAGAGGTGCCTCTTCAGTGCGGGTGTTGGCATACGCCATTTGGCTGAGCGCTACACCCAGGTAGCACCAAACAGAGCCAAAAAATGATCTTCAGGCATCACCTTCCTCTTCACCCCCTTCTTCTCTTGGCCACCCCTCGAGGACCAGAGTGGCCTCACAGGGTTTGCCTAGAGCCAGGTGGATCACAGGCACTGACACGGACACAGGCTTTCTGCCTGGTCTGACAGGCAGACAGACCCCAGAGCCACATTTTGGAAGGAGGCGATTTCTGCAGCTTAGCATCATCCTGAAGGCACCAATTATGAGTTCAGCCCAAATTCCCTTCTTTACAATCTAGGCAGCCTGCTAACTGCAGACCCAGGGCTGCCTCCCCAGAGCGCACGCAACAGCAGCTTGGCTCCTGCCTTCCCCTACCAAAGTCTGGGCAAATTCTCCCACCACCTTTGGTGCTCCAGAACACCCCTAAAAAGTACCACCCCTGTCATGAAGATCAGAGGGGAACTGCATAGGGCAACCCGGTCTCAGGAACATCCTGCAGATAGCCTTAACCCTCCACCATTATTGCTAAGAAAGAAATACTAACTTCCTTACCCCTTCACCAAGTGCTCAGGCTGAGCTGCATGCCGTAGATGTAAAGCCTCCAACTCTGCTCACTGAACTCCTCCTTAGGGACAGTAAAGCCTTGCTCATCCTCCTTGCCCTACCTTGCTAGACCTCAGCTCAGGGTGAGCCTCAGCCCGTGCTGGTAGTGCAGGTCCCCAGCTCTGCCTCTGCCCCACAGGGATACTAGCACCACCTCCCTCCTCCCAAGCGCTCAGTGTTACAGGAATTTAATCAAATTGTTGCAAAAAGCAGGACCATGCAAATGTATGCAAATAAAGTCCAGCCCAGCTGGGCCCTACGTGCTGCGGGGCTGCACCATGGATGCCGGACAGGGAGCAGGACACCTCCGGGCTGTGCACAACACCTGACTCCTCGCTAAACCCTCGCCCGGGGCTTTTCTTCCCTCCAGGACGCTATCGATGACAAGCTGGACACCAAGCATTACCCTTACATCTCCACCCGCTCCTCCGCCTCCTTCAGCACCACGGCCGTCAGGTGGGTCCCCGTTCCCCTCGCCAAAACGTGGCGGCCCAACCTCCCCCCTTCCTGCCCCCGCAGGGCCGACAAGCTTCTGGCCGAGGCTTGTGCCATCGGGCCGAACGCCCGCAGGAATATCACCTTTAGCATCCAGCCCCTACCTGCCTGGAGGGACTGCCTCCTTCTGCAGCTGGTGAGGCCAGGGAGCGTGAGCCCCTTGTACCGAAGGGGAAACTGAGGCAGGGCTGGATGAAATGACTTAGCCAGGGTTAGCGGGGAGGATGGAAGCGCTCGCTCTTGCCTTGCTCTCCTGGGGACGTCCGGCGCATCTCCCACCCTCCTCCCCAGACCCAGCCCTCCAGCTGGTCCCTCTCCGCCGTCACGGCCTGCCGCGGCGATGGCAGAGGTGGGGTGGGGTGGTCCCCCCTA